AGTATATGTGGATTTTAGTAGGTATTATAGATTTAAATAGAGACCCCAAATTTCAGCATCAGCTGCGACAATAAATAATTCTTTAGAAAGATTATTTGCGGCTTGTTCTTGTTGTAGATTCGATTGGAGAACTAATTAAGTAGAATTTTGTTGTTTGTAAATTATTTATTTTATTTTATTTTATTTAAGGTCTGCTCTGAGCTTTATTAAATACAACTCATTAAACATACAGTACAGTATATTATATAACGTGTATAGATATTTGCAAACATCATGACTGAAACAGTAATTTATATTAAGATTTATCTTTTGGTTAGATTATACAATTGTTTCTTATGCATTAATTAAATCATTTTTATATTCATTTTAATAGTGATATACAGTATATTAATGAAAAAACATATTTAAAGTTGATATAATATAATTTTAACATATAGAAATTCATTTCATAGCCTAGATTGATACTGTATTAACAGGGTTAATATTAATGAAAGACAACTACTGTACAATATAATATATTTTGTTTTAAATTTAATTTTTAATAATAAAAATTTTATAAATAAAAATTAGTTTTGATACTACAGTATATACTATATATATATATAGTATATATATATATATATATATAATCTTGATATAGATTACAGGATTGATTATATATCAAAGTATATATATACTATATATAGTTGCGTTTTAGTAGAAGTTATTATAAATTATAAATCAAATTATATATATACATATATTATAAAAATTATATCGGACTTTTAAAAAGTTTTATTAGCATTTACTGTATATCGATATCGTCCACAAGTACGTACCAAAACTTCTATTTATTGCATAGCACACTATTTTTTTAAAAAATTATCATGCTCATGCTTGTACGACGATCAATTACTATATAAATTGCAAGAAACTATGATTTACAACGAAATATTTGAAATTAGACATGAGCTTGAATCCTATCCAAGAAATGGGCGAATCACCCCATTCAACTCCGGCATACAATTCTTTAAGCACTTCTTCTACGTCCTCAACATCATCACTTTCACACCATCATCAAGCGCCTATTAGTACAAGTTTGCCCTCATTTTCTTCTTCAGTTTCCACATATATTGGACCGCTTATTCAGGCAGGTGGAACCGTTACTACAACCACACCGATGTCAACAGATACAAATGGAACATGGTCTTCTCAGGCTTCACAGCAGCAACGTCAGATACCTCAAGCTTCACAACTTTTCTCAACTTATCGTTCTCAGCCTTCCCTTTCGAATCGTTCTGTTCTTGCTTCTTCAAGCTCTTCAGCAGCTTCTTCCATTTTGAATGTTACCTCTTCTCCTTCATCGTTGGTACCATTAATACCATCTATGGAGCGTTCCAATTCAGCTTCAACGATGTATACAGTTTCTTCGGCGGGGGGACACTTTCATGAAAAGTCGAATTCAACAGGATCAATTAGTGTTAACTTAAAAGATAGTGCAAATACGAATCAATTGTCATATATTCCAACATCTTCGCATCGAAGCCCAGTTAATGATAATATACCATCGATTGCAAAAGAAATAGAAAGATTAGAACAAGCAGGACAGGATGATAAATGGGCATCATTAGGAAAAAAAGTTTTACCTTTATTCAATGGTTTAGGATTAAAAGCATATATTGAAGACTTGAATGAATTGGTAAGGTAAAATCGGCAGTTCTTTTTTTCCTTATATTATATAATTTTTTGATATGAATTTTATTTTACTGAGTTATATATTTATATAAACAGATGCTGTATGAAAGATCGTTCTCCACAATTGTTGCGAGATGACATAAACAATCTCTTGTTAACGGGAATGTCCACTCTTAATGGCAAATTGAGAGGTGTTCCCGATGAAAAACTTGTCTCTCGCTTGGTTGAAATATGGTCATTTTATTTTGGAACTGTGTTACCTTATTTTGAAGGTGTTTTCCTTCCATTACAAACGCAAGCGACGGCACAACATCAGCGTGATATGAATGTTAGACGACTTGTATTAATGAGTTTTAGAGATCATGTGATATTGCCAATTGGCGATAGGGTGGAAGGTATGAAATAACAATAAAAGTTATTCAAGTACTTTTAAGCAAATACTAAAGATATGCATATTGCAATGCAGATGCATTCAACAAGTTATTCCATGATTTTGATTCAGGAATTCCTGTGACAGACACAGCGGCTCGTATGCTGCAAATGTCATATATTTTGTCATCAATTTTATCTGATGATGATAAACAGAAGGATATGGATCGAATTTTAGGTAAATTGAAAAATAACTGGAAATTATTTATGAGACGTAGAGATCGAAGAGGATTCGTAGGAATGTCACCTTCAAATCCTTCCAATGTACAAGCAGTAAGAGAGGCAACGGTTGGCAATGTAGTTAACAATACTACTAACTCTATGAATGGAATGTCCACCACTACCAGTCCCGCTTCATGATTGTATAATAACTTTTAATGTTTGGTTTTTTATGCTTCTTGTATATGTAATATGTAGATAAATAACTGTTTGTATTATAAATTTTTATAATTAGATATTTATTATGTGTATTGCAAAAAAAAAAAAAAAAAAAGCAAATTATTTGGCTGATATATATCATTATAAAGTTTCGCTGGCCAATCAAACTTCAAGATCAAGTGTATCACAAAAGAAACAATTTTATTAAAACTGCAAAATGGTGATCCAAAACGTTAGTTGAAAACAACTAGTTGACAACTTTTCAACTAATCGATTAGAAAATTTTTAAAACAACTAATTGTTTAAATCTAGGCTGATTTATGTTGATTTCTTTAATCTGATTGGCTTACAACGGGTTTAATCACATGGTATAGAAAATCGATTAGTTGGCAACTAATCGATTGGCAAAATCTTACCAACTTGCACTATTACAGTATATAATCTTATTTCAATAAGTGCATATTATTACAATCCAAAAGCTTTATTAAAGATTGGCTTTATTTTTCAATATGTATTTATAGAGTTGATTATATTTAATACTTAGTATTTACAGATAGCTATCAATTTTTAGTAATTACTATTTACTAGTAGAAAATGTGCTTATGTAGAGAGTGATTTTTATATATTTAATAGTAGTTGGTTTGTATATAGTATAATATAGTTGAAAAGAAAGTAAATAAAGTAACAAGATTTCTTGATATATAGCTATCAAAAAAAACAATCATTTAGACATAATAGATATTATAAAAAAAGAAATCTAAGCAATTATCAAAACAATATATGAGAAGAATATAACACTTGCATAGCTAGTTTATATTAATAATAGAGTACTGATTTCAAGGCTAGGAATATAGAATGCAATATTATATACTATCAAGAAATCAATACAACAGATAGCAGAGCTCTCTATTTAAGCTCATTAAAAACAAGCCTGAACTAGCAAGCACAATAGCAAATGTAATTTTTGCTCACAAAAACATAGTAGGTACAAATAGACTACAAAAGCATAAAGTATATAACTAGTATAGAGCTTGTAAGGCAAAAAAAAGTATATTTTAAACAAAATCTCACATATAAGATTCTATATAAGGTCAAAAAAATAAACTTAAGTATAAGATCAAACAAATATAAAGAAAACTTAAAGCTTGCAAAAAAATATACAGAAATTATTGATTTACTAATAGGGAAAAAAATATAGAGTTTTTTGCAAGAAAAAGAGATGAGTATTCTGGTACTTAAGCAGGTTCTAAACAGTATAGGAGAAAAGATACTTGTATGAAAACAAATCAAAAAAATGCAAAAAACAAAAAGTAACTATAAAAACACCTATTTGGTTTAGAAAAATAAAAAAAAAGTGCTTATCAACCCAAGCAACAAACAGATCAAACCAGAATTTAAAATAAAAACACAACTTCTTATCTCTAAAAGTAGATAACTTTTTATAAGATTTAATGGAAATTAGATGATTTCCATCTCTTAAAAGGCTACTTTCACTCATCCACACCTGATATTTTATTAGCCAATCAAATTGTATAAATATTAATTAATAAAAATTTTAATATTATATAAATTTTAATATATTAAATTATTTTGAATAATTTAACTACTAAAATAATTCTTTCAATAAAACAATTCTAAAAAGCCTAAAATCACTAAAATTTAATTATTAAATCCTGAGATTGATTTATATTTATATACTATTATAGATAGTATATTATAGTGATTGGATCTGGGTAGCACCTATTTGGGTTACCCGTGGATAAACAGATAACTCGAGTAGAGTTTTTATAACCTGATAAGAACAGGTAGGTCATCTGTGAGCTACCTGTAAGCAATTCATTTTATAATTGGCTAATTTGCAAAGATCAAAATATAATCAAACCAAGAATTATAAATAAAACTATTCTATTATTTTATTTATTATATTTTGTACTGTAATTAAAATAATTATATCTTATTCTAGTTATTATAGCTTTTATTAGAAATGTAATATAGCTTTTAGCTTATAAAGAAGCAATAATACATATAAGTATCATTAAAAGAAAACTGAAAATTTAAATATAATTTATGGGTTTCTTTTAGCAACACTTATATATACTATATTATTGATCTATTTTATATTTGCTAATTTAGTAATTAACTCCATAATATTCAAGGTATGTAATTAATATAAACCTCTTGTTATTATAATAGAATATTAAATAATCTAAAATTTTTTAAAGCTTACTTTCCAATCTTCTTTTTTTGTTAGCTAGTTTCAATATTTAGAACTCATATAGCTAGTACTAGTAGTATGTAGTAAAAATATTCACTTTTAAGTAAAGTTTTTGAAAGTATTATTACAATGCTATAGTCTTTTTTGTAACCACATAGCACAGTAACAAGATCACCCAGTGCAGAGATTCTGCTATTGGAATATACACAGAGTGGATGTGAAGTACAATTAAGTATCTATAGTAGAAAGTAAGCAGTTTGGTATTTGGATAGTGTATTTTAACTTTTATTTATTATAGGACAAAAGGATAACCTCCTTTAGAGATCCTAAAGAGAGTTATATATTACAAGAGAGAATTACAAAACTAATTCTATATGAGAAAGAGATAATAGTTTCTAACTAGATACTTGTTAAAACCTGTATTAATCTATGTAAAACCTATTTTTACAAGAAGAGATTTATACTCTATATACTTTTTACAGAATAGAAGAGGAAATTGAGAGTAATATAACATTGTACTTGAGGGAGTTGAAGGACATGTTGAGGGAGTTGAAGGCTGTGTTGAGGGAGTTGAAGACCATGTTGAGGAAGTTGAGGGAGATAAGAAATATGTTGAGGAAGTTGAAGGCCATGTTTGAGGGACTTGAAAGTATAGTTGAGAGAGTAGAGAGCCATGTATAACTTTAGCTATATTATGTGCTACAGTGGCTTTAACTCTTTGTTAAATACTTATACTAATAATATTATATATAATACAAATATAATAAATAATAAATATCTAATACAAAATACAAGTTAATAAATATAAACTAAATAATATAAATATAAAATATAAATAACTATAAAATATAAACTATAAAATACAAAACAACTCTTTCTGATAATCACTTGGACCAAATTTTCTGACAAAAAGAAAAGCTTTTTTCAATACTGGAGAGTAGTAACCTGTAGTGAGGTGAATTCAACAGGGCAGTTTTTATAAAGGTTAACCTTTATCTATTCTTGGGGACTCCTTTATATATTCGATATGCAAGCCAAAAGCGTCTGTATACAAGATAACTGGCAGAAGATGGTGCCCTTGTATATGAAATTTTGGTAGATAGGTGGAGGTGATAGAAGTCCAAGCCTTCCGTCGACAAAGCTATCAGTTGCGAAACAACTGGAGAACAGTAAAGAATGGACTTCTTTTAAGCCGCACTCCTTTTTTCTAGCCAAGTGGTGCCTACTATTTTTTCTCGCTTCCCTGCCTTTCTTCCAAAATTTTTCAACAAAAAGTGGGGATTTGGCTTACTCTCTCCAAAAGATCGACATTGTTTACTTCCCAAATTTGGACGGACTAGTAGATTGCAACCACGTGTTTGTTTACGGATGGATATGGTGCTACTGCATGGGACTCGGCCCAGGAACTCTAATTATGGTGAAAGGGAGCCTTGATATAGGTCCTCGGACAATAGAGCCATCCGAATTTGGTGGGAAGGTCGGAAAGTAAATTTTAATATTAATGTAGAGTTTTACCTTTACAAAAGAGATATACAAATGTTGTATTTGTTATATAATTTTTACCAACCTTGCACGAGTTATAATAGTGCCTTTAGGGTCTTAGTTTTCTTTTCATGTTTTTTCTTTTTCGAAATCTGTGTTTATTATTTTTTTTTGTCTGTTTTTCTTTTTTGGTCATTTTCATATTTGTTTTTTTTTTGGTTTAAACTTTTTCCTCTTTTGTCTCGTGCCCCTTGAGAAGAAAGAAGAATTAGAAGGGAAAAGAGGTCCTGAGGTGGGAGCTGAGCCCCGGTTATATTATATCTTTAAATACGGCACACTATATGTAAGGTATAGTGGCCAACATCAGTGTGATAATCAAGGTTGGACATCTCGAAGAGACAGCCGGCTTTTAGTCTAGTACCCTATTAGATAGCTTGGTCTTATATTAAGTATTATACATTTAATAAAATTTTAGTACGTGGTTATCAAAGGAAAAAAATATATATATATAAACTATAAAATATCAACTACGCTAAACTACTTTATATTATAAAAACCTGTTTTACAACAGTATAATGAAAAGAATATAAATTAACTATTGCTCTTAAATATCTTAAAGTCGATACCAATTTAAGTTTAGATGAAAATTATTAAAAATTTTATTAAAAGATATTTATTCTGTATATTAAAATTTATATACCAAACTGATCTCTAATTTTATTTAATAATCATTTATTATATAGTTACAATATTATCTCTATACTTTATTTTAATCTTTCTCACAAAATTAATAAACCTTATAATAGTGCTACAAATCGAAAATTGAAAATCACAACTAATCGAAAAGTTGACAACTAATCAATTAAAAAAATTTTGACAACTTATATTAAAATCGAACAAAAATCAAATAATCGAAAAGTTGCCAACTAATCAATTGCAAAATTTTTGGTGATTTGTAGCACTACCTTATAACTTAATTTCATAGTATTACACAGGTCGAAATAAGGCAAATTATATTTAAATCAGTATTATAAAATCCTGATATGAATCTGATATAAAACTGATATTTGGCACAAATAGAGCATCTATAGAATACAATTTGAATTAATTCAGTATTGGCAAAATGATAGCTCAATAGGTAAATTAATAGAGCTTAACTTATAGCTCTATCAATTTATCTATTAAGCTATCATTTTGCTAATATGTCTTATATGCTGATATCAATTCGAACTGTATTCTATAGATGTCCTATTTGCGCCAAATATTTGTTTTATATCATGTTTAT